ACCAATATGCTTTCCATTTGCACTGACCACACCGCGTAATTTTCGTCATCCAACTTTCGATGGAATATAACCCTTGTCCACTCATGTTTATAAATTTTTTCGTATAATCACACACAGTAATTAAGGTTAATCGCACAATTTCGTGTTTAGAGCCCTGGGCCCATAACCGGTTGGTTATATAATGTTTTTAAAGTGGAACTAAACAGGAAACTGAACCGGATTAATAGGTTTTTCTTTTTATTACGCATCTGTACGTTTACATTGTTCGGTAGTTCATAAGCGACAGAGAATGGTAAACTTAGGAATAAGAATAAGCACAAAGCAAAACAAAAGACTTAAGTGTGACCAGGATTCAAATATTAGTTGTTGCCGAAAAACATGCATATTTCAATAATTTCATTTAAATACCTAATCAAGAAATACAAAAAGGAGTTTAAATTGCTAACACAATAACAAAATCCCAATGTACATTTGTCCGATTATTAAATACATCCAATTCCGATTTATTAGTAAATATTAATAATATCAAATACGAATCACTTTCGAGCTATGAAGTAGTTCAAAACAACCAATATAATAGAATTGAAAAAGTTTTATCGCTTCTAAGAAAAAATTTTCCACAACTATTCAATGATCAATTAACAGAACTGTGCGCCAAATATTGTGATGTATTCGGACAACAGACCGAATCAATCACAACAAACAACTTTTATAAGCAAGCAAGCAAGATTAAAAGATAATGAACCTTTTTACAAAAAAAAAAAAACAGAAGTCCTCATAGTCATGTAGATGAAATCCAAAAACAAGTTGGGAAACTTATTAACGACAATATAGTCGAACCTTCTGTGTCTGAATATAATAGCCGACTTTTATTAGTACCCAAGAAATCCCTCCCGGGATCAGAAGAAAAGAAATAGCGATTAGTAATCGACTATCGTCAAATCAATAAAAAGCTCTTTATCTGACAAATTTCCTCTCCCCAGAATTGATGATCTAGAGATCAATTGGGTCGAGCAAAATATTTCTCATGCCTTGATTTAATGTCAGGATTCCATCAAATTGAATTAGAAGCAAGTTCTAGAAATATAACGTCCTTTTCAACGAGCAATGGCTCATATCGTTTCACACGATTATCATTTGGACTAAAAATAGCACCAAACTCATTTCAGAGAATGATGACTATTGCGTTTTCAGGTCTAGAACCTTCACAAGCATTCCTTTATATGGACGATTTAATCGCTGTTGGATGTTCAGAAAAACAAATGATTACAAATTTAAAAGACGTTTTCGAACTCTGTAGAAAATATAATTTAAAGTTACATCCAGAAAAATGCTCATTTTTCATGCACGAAGTGACATTTCTTGGTCACAAGTGTATAGACAAAGGAATATTACCAGATGACAAGAAATATAATGTCATCAAGAATTATCCAGTCCCACATGATGCGGACAGTGCGAGACGTTTTATTGCATTCTGCAATTACTATAGACGCTTTATAAAAAACTTCGCCGATTATTCACGGCATATAACAAAATTAAGTAAAAAGAATGTTCCTTTTCAATGGACAGATGAATGCCAGAAAGCATTCCATTATCTAAAAGATAAGCTAATAGAACCAACTCTATTACAATATCCAGATTTTAGCAAAGAATTTTGCATAATCACAGATGCAAGCAAACAAGCATGTGGAGCGGTTTTAACTCAAAACAAAAATGGACGCCAACTTCCCATTGCATATGCATCAAGAGAAAGGTGAAAGCAATAAGAGCACCACAGAACAAGAATTAACAGCAATTCACTGGGCAATAGTATATTTTCGACCATATATCTATGGAAAACACTTTACAGTAAAAACAGACCACAGACCACTAACTAACCCAAGTTCAAAACTAACACTAGAATTATAGGAATACGACTTCACTGTGGAATACTTAAAGGGAAAAGACAATTTCGTGGCAGATGCCCTATCGAGGATAACAATATCCGAATTAAAAGACATACAAAACATACATCCTGAAAGTCACTACCAGGCAACAAAGTAGACAAAATAATCTCTGGCCAGAGAACAAAAATGAAACTATGCTTAGGCAAGTTCCTAATAAAGCTTCTAAGCCCAACGTACATGAAGTCATTTGCAATGATGAAGTACGGAAAGTAGTGACCTTGGACATAACAAATAATTTATGTTTACTTAAACATGGGAAAAAAGTTATAGCAAGAATTGATGTTAGCGATCTGTACACCAATGGAAATCTTGACTTAGGTCGATTCTTTCAAAGGTTTGAAAAACAAGCCGGTATACTAAAGATCAGCCAACTCAAATTGGCACCGTGTGAAAAGATTTTTGAAACTATTTCAATAGAATCTTTTAAAAAAATGGGCAATAAAATATTGAATTATCATTAAGAGTAGCGCTACTCCAACCGGTGACCGTTATCGAAAAAGATAAAGATAAAGAAGCAATTATGGCTACATACCATAATGATCCTATACAAGGTGGTCATACTGGCATTACAAGAACGCTTGCAAAAATCAAAAGACACTACTATTGGAAAAACATGACTCGTCATGTCAAAGAGTACGTACGTAGATGTCAAAAATGCCAGCTATCTAAAATAACAACACATTTTTAGACCTCAATGACATTAACAGAAACACCAACACGTGCTTTTAGATGGTCCGTTATAAACTAAGTTCACAAGTCAATAATGCATTTAGGTTACGATAAGACACTCGATAAAGTTTACGATTTTTACTGGTTTGAGAATACGTCAAAATATATCAGAAAATTTGCTGACAACTGCATCACTTGCAAAATGTCAGGCTGAACTGCATGCAATCCCGAATGTCAATATTCCTTGGCACACTATCCACATCGACATAACTGAGAAATTGAGTGGCAAGAGTGACTAAAAAGAGTACGTTATTGTTTAAGTAGAAGCGTTTACCAATTTTGTCTTTCTATATCATACCCTTTAATTAGACAGTGAGAATTCTATAAATGCTGTTCAATCCGCTGCTTCGTTGTGTGGAGTACCAAACCGAATAATAGCTGACCAGGGAAGGTGTTTAACGGGAGCAAAACTGGAACGCAGTCTAGGAGAGGTGCATATGGCACAACTAACCGTGTGACAAAGGGAAGTTCTCTAGAAATGCTATTTGGAAAGCTACCAGGCCTTTTTGAGGATAACTTCCACCTAGTGACATAGAAAATGAGATTGATCTGTCAAACGTAAGAGCACTAGCAGAAAAGAATATTTTAGCTAATGCAGTTTATGACAAAGAACGATTTGATAAAAATTATGCAAAAGTACTTAGACACAAAGTTGGAGATTTTGTATTATTTAAAAGCGAAAAGAAGCATCAAACCAAGTTATGTCCATGTTGAAGTTTCTTAAGAATGTGAAGAACACCAATAAGGGCGAAAGAAGTTAAACTGCTGGCCAAAGGAAATGACAAAGTACGTCAGCCATGTAATATAATGCAAGCACAAGTGCAAAACATAGTGATGTTTGTTTTGATCATGGCGTGTGGGGCATTTGATTGATTTGAAAAATAAAAACCAAACAGAATGATAAAGACTATGTTAAAAAATGATTTGAGGAGGCTTGGTACTATTTTGCGAAATTGTTAACTTGATAAGTCTTTATGAATTAAGAAATTAAGATTTGCGTTTGTTGTGGAAATATTTGTTGGCAATAAAAAAATATAATAAAAACAATTAAAAACAAAAGAGCAACATGAATTATGGTCTTTTGTACACGAGGTCGTGTCGGTGCATACGGAATGTCTGTGTGGTTGCACGTGGAATGTCTGTGTGGTTGCTCGTAGAGTGTCTGTGTGGTTCCATGTAGAATGTCAAGATATTTGGTTGTTCACAATGATTGCGAATTGCGATTCCCGGCGAATGTTATAGAAGCATTATTGTCGCTTTGCTTAGAACTGCCAGGGCGAGGCGACAATGTCGCCGAGTGTGGTTCGATGGGATAAAAAGAGAAAAGGAAGAACGTTGGGTTCTGTAGCTGCCTAAGACGCCTAGCGTACACATCGGAACACTAATTGGTCTAGGCTTATTATTTTAGAACAATAGTTTTACATAGGCAAGCGAACCCTAACTGGTACGTGCCAATTTAAGCAAAGCGACAATTGATTAGTTATTATTTTGAGTAATGCAAGTGGCCGATGTGTACCAAATGCACGAAGCGAACGAACTTGATGTAAATGTAATCTTAAGAGCGAAATTTATGCAATTGCTTCGCAGAGCAAGTGTTTTATGATAAAAACCAATAAAACAATCGTTACAACGAAGAGCGCCAGCTTGATGTAAATGTAATCTTGGTTGCATTGCCAGACAACGTGTTTCAGTGATTTGAAAATGGGTTTTGAGACCGATCGGATGGTGAACAAAAAACTTTCATACAAACGTTTTTCGCTAATTAAACACATTTATGGGATATTTATAATCGATGAAACACGTATTTATTAACTTCTTATGTCGAGCTCTGAAAATAACAATATCGGAAAACACTTAAAACCACAAAAAAAAATGTTAGTATCACACGTTCCACCGCGGAAGATTGGATTTTGCCAATTCGACCTGCCCTTGGGGTAAATTGATCATAAGTTGTTCTTTTCAGGTTTTGTTTTCCAACAAGTCTTTAGGAAAATTCATTTGACACTTTTAATACTTTTTATAATGGGATATCAAATTTTTATCCTGGCACACATACTTAGAGAAATGTGTGGAAATTAGCCGGAAAACGTTATTGAAATTGTGGAAGTTTGCCGGAAAGCAGTATTTAAACATTTTGCAAAACCTATTATTTTATATAACAGTGCACAGATCGGATCCTACCAACAAAGTATTTTTCCATCTTTTTATGTGTATATCTATATATTAAGTAGAATTAAATAAAATTAAGTAGAATTAATCTTCGGAAACCGCACTTATTATTTCTTTATGTAATATGTAGTTGCAACTAAAAATCTATATTTTCAGGTTGCGTGGACCGACGTTCGTTTGGACTTTCAATTTAAAGAGCAAAGAACGGGATAGCAAATGGACCTTGGCTGGAGTTTGCTTACTTTTGCAGACATAAAACCTTAAATAACCTTACAAATTAATAATTTGATTGTTTTGTATGTTGATGTAATACCACAATAAACATTCAATTCTCCGTAAGTAAAATGCGTAATAGTTTTTTTTTATTTATGCCCGTTCCTAAATTCTGGCTTAAAATATTTTTTGTGTAAAAAGAATTCAAAATTTTTGTTTATATTATGATTTTTCGATATACGATGTGTGTGTGCACTATTACTTGTAGTGCATTGGTCAAATGCTGGGTGGCTGTGTCAAACCCAGACGGCCTCTGTTCTCCATTCAAATTGCTCCATTCAAATGTACAAATGTTATGACTATAAACAGTCAACAAGAATACAGGACTAATGCTGAATTCTTTACTCTCCCTTCCTCACATTCACACCGTTCGGCCGGAGAATACGAGGTAGACTAAGTACCAATCTGCCATTCAGCATCAATGATACTGTTCGTCTCCTGATCCTAATACTCTTTCTATACGCATATATAGTGCGTTGTTTCAACCTCAAGACTCAAGACAACTAAAAGTTGCATATTCTTTCGGTTTTTCACAGAGAACTATAATTGAGAACAAATGTTCAAAAATTCCCAGGACGTTACAGCCTACTACCGCGCATACCCACCACATGTACCATACCTTAAAACAAATTCTTTTAAGGCTTTCTGGCAGAATCCTATACAAAACTTTTCTGTAAGAACACTGTGGCCTGAAAAATGGCGACGATTGCTTTAGGTCGGCGACTTTAAAAGTATTATCAATCTGACATACAGAGGAAATAAGCTTCTATCACACATTCCCAATCAAATGCATTTACAGAAATCACCTTTACACTAGGCAACTTTCTCAACTTTTGCCTTTTTATTTTTTTTTGCTGGTGTGGCACGCGAAAAGGGTTGTGAATAGCGTAGTCTGTTGTGCACGTAGATAGGAATAAGGGGCGATAATTTCTGGTTGGTCAATGGAGTATTGTCGATTGCATAACTGACAAGGTAAGTTGTATTACGATTAAATGTCATAAACATACACTTTGAACAATTCAGATGCAATTGATTGGCCGAACACCAAAGTTGCATAGTGTTCAAATCTTCTTGTAGACGAGAATGATGTAAGGGGTTAGTGTACGATAGAATAAGTTTCACATCGTCCGCATACATAAGTACCCGGGCATGTGATATAACCGAGGGGAGATCATTTATAAAAAGATTAAAGTGTAAAGGTCCAAGGTGACTACCTTGAGGAGCACCAGCCTCAGCATTACACTTTGGGTCCTACCTTTTAAATAAGAGTTAATCCAAAGCAATAAAGACGGAGGGGAACCTATTCGGTCAAATTAAAAAAGTAAAATGTCATGGTGCATAGAGTCAAACGCCTTTCTGAAGTCAGTGTAAATAACATTAGTTTGCATTTTCGAAAGGAAAACATCATTTACCAAAGAAGTAAACTCAAGCAGATTGGTCGTAGTTGACCGATTCTTTACGAATCCATGTTGAACAGGGAAAACAACTGATTTGCAGAAATGCTAAAAGTTCGAAGTGATTATTTTCTCAAATAATTTAGGAACAGAGGACAGTTTTGCAATGCCCCTGTCTTATGTATATCAGACTTTCCACCTTTTTTGTGTAGAGGAATGATATAAGATTCTTTCCAAAGAGATGGAAAGACAGAAGTTTCAAGGGATAGATTAAAAAGCTTTAGCAATGGATAAAGAAGGGAAGAACTGCACTCCTTGAGTAGACAACTAGGAATATTGTCAGGCCCAAGAGAGTAAGAAGATTTTAAAGAGTATATAGCTAATAGAAGAGAAGAGTGTGAAATACTGGGAGGAGGTATAGAACTAGAGGAAGAAATAGTATAAGGGTAAGAAGCTTGGCAAGCTTGAAGATTTACTTACAAAATCATAAAACTGTCTCGGATTTTGGGCAAATTGCCTTTTACAATGAGTTAGATAATTCTCATAGCATTGAGAATTAAGAAGAAGTTCGACTTGGCTATGGAATATTTAGCCAAGTCTGTACACGAACCAGACTTTATAAACTTTTTAAAATATTTAGATTTTACATTTTGTAGATGTGATAATCTGGGAGTAAGCCAGGATGGTTTTGAGAAAGTACTCGAAGGAATGGACTTGGTACTTGATACACACATCTAAGAGGGAGTATAGGGTGATATAAAAAAAATTAATGACAGTATTCATATCAACCGAGTCCTATAAGAAAGACCAATCGGTTGCATAAATAAGCTGATTCACCAAAGAATAATTTTCTTTGCGAAAGCAACAGCGGGGCTTATTGGCTGATGAGCACGAAATGAAAGGATTACATTTGAGCATCGCAATCTCTAAAGTAGGATGATAGACATACTCAAAAAAAGATAAAGGAGGGGACCTAGACACGTCAGAAATAAGGTAGTCGTTAACAAATACAAGGTCAAGTGTTCTATTCAAATGATTAGAAATTGAATTCATTTGAAACAACGAAAGATCAAGCATGCAGTCTATAAAATCATGCTGTGCTGAGGGCACTAGATAATTTTTGGCAGTAAATAACCAAGAGATGTTCGGCAAATTAAACTCACCCAACACTTCTTTAATACAAGTAATATGTTTCATATAAACTTGAATATCAGAAGAAGGTGGGACATAAGAGCATGTTACATAGATATTCCGTGTAGGAAAAGGCACCTCAACTGAGACAATCTCATCAATCTCAGTTTTAGTAGGTGTACTAAAACAGAAAAGTTCTAGAGAGTGTCTTTAAAGGCAATTAACACCCCACCACCTTGAGTAGGCCGATCATTTCTATACAAAATAAATTTATTAGATAAAATCTCAAAATCAGATATGGTTGAGTTTAACCATGTTTCTGAAAATGCTATTATATCCGAATCGAAGGAAGTGCTGGCCATGACAAGATTTTTAAGCTTTGCAATGAGACCTTTAACATTCTGATAATGAATAAAGATTTGGTCAGAAGATTAAGCTAGTTTTTTGGGGCAGAAATGGCACCCTGTGTTGAAGGCACTGGAAGGGTGATAGGCTGGTTACGCTTTTTAGGCTTGAACTCGTGAACAATCATGTGTGGAGGCCAAAATTTGGGATCACAAATGATTGGGAACATATCATGTGAAACATTTATTTTGAATGATGATATTTCACAAGGGGTGAAGATTTTAAATTTGGTTATTGACAGAAAATTTGCTAGCAATATAGGCTGCCAATGACTCAGAACTGGTGTCCGACGAAAGTCGAGGCAGAAAAGCTTGCCTACGAGGGGCAATTAGGCGTGAAACAACATCCACCAAATCTTTGAATATAATAAATCTTTGAATATACTAAATTTTCAAAAAAGGTCGAAATACCCATCAGGTGAATTTAAGTTTCATACGAACGCTTTTCTCGAATTTGCATTACTTGAGGGTGGAATTTCCCGAAACCCCGTCTTTACGTGCACCTTCATTAGATAAGGTAACTTCAGTGAAAATTTCAGCGTCCTAGCAGTGAATCAGTCAGGACAAACAGTTTTATACATAGACATTATTGACGAAATACAGAGTTTTTGTGCAAATATATATTAGGAGCAAAAAGAAGCTTTCTATAAGAAAGAATAAGAAGTCTTTGCTATCCCTTTTTGTTTTGGGTGATTCGCAGTCACATAATCATGTCTTCTTGTTTTCGGCTCGCGTTCAACTTGCAAGCAGCAGAACCCGGCTGATTTTAATAATTTTTCATTTTTGTGACCAGCAAAACACCCACTCTCAAAAGAGTTTTTTTTTAACTATTGATCAGTGCTGTAATAAAAGACCATGAACCATATTATATAACAAGCTTTATGTAATGACTGAGAAACATACATTTGCGTCTTTATTGGGCAACTATTGGTGCAATTATTAATACACGTGTTCTTTAAAAATATACTATTACTAGTAATAGGGTATCTACGCCTCGACGCGCGTAATTGATATGCTGCAAAGGAAGTATATGCATTTACGAAAATTTCAATATTTGGGCTACAGCTAACCCGCAAGAGCAATCGCGGCAGCTTAAGAGCGTATATTATAAGAGAGCGCATGAAAAGGGGGACTAACGAAAATGCATCTGTGCTTAGATCAGCCACATTGAGTTCTGGCTTATCACTCAATGGATCACCCGCTATCACGGTTGAATTGAGTCGAATTTAGTAATTCTTAAGCTTTGTACTTACTAGTTTAGTGACAGCGGAATTTGTTAAAGTCTGTGAGCGTCAGTCCAAGTGACTCTGTGTAGGTCCGATATTTAAATATAATTATAATATTTAAGTATTAACCGAGGCTCCTCGTGTTCGAGTTAGCATGGCAGGGCGGGATCCTCGTGTTACCTAGCTCTTTCGGGTGGGAGGTTCATTTGCCTGTATACACCAATTTTTTTTAGGATCCCTATAGATGTAATGTAGGAGCTATACTCTGAAGAAACAAAATCAGAAACAGGCACAATTAAACGAACCCTAAAAGTGCCAACACAATGATGACAGCTTTAATTAGGGTTATATATTCCGTAGAGTCGATGTAAGCTGACTCTCGCGTTCGATACGCTTCCAGCCATGACCTTCAGAGCTGAAGGTTTTGAAGATCCCAACAAAAACATTCTTCTACTACATTATATCACCATGTCACCAGGAAAGAAAACATAGCAATTCATAGTCAAAATCCGTAATTAATAAGCAAAAGCATCATTCATTGAAATTTTATACTTCATTAGGTAACCTGCATCTTAGTACAAGTGGCATTAATGATTCAACCATAATTCTGTAAATAAACTAGTCAGTTAATATTACTACAAGGGCTCAAAGTACTTCAAAAATAATTCATTACATAAAACTGGTCAGTTAATATTTTTTCTTATTGCTCAAAATTCTTCAAAACCCTCAAAATTACGCTCAAGTGCATTTAATACTTATAGTATTAAGCTATGCATAGCTAAAAAATAAGAATGAAATTGGTAAATTAATTAAAGTGTAATCGGCAAAAGAAAAATAATTTATTATAATAGTCA